GTAGTTTTTAATTGGGGGTATAGTTTTTATATTTTTTATTGTTTTTTATTGTTCGTTGGTTTTTAATTGTAAGCCACCCAGAGTCACCCTCTGGGGGAGATGGGCAGCATATAAATTTATAGATAGATAGATAGATAGATAGATAGATAGATAGATAGATAGATAGATAGGACGCACATGGTGTTATGGGGGAGGACTGAGCTCTTCTATTGCTCAAAACATGGGGCTGTAGTGATTTCACCAATCTTCCTAGCAGGAAGCCCTGCAGATATTTCAAACTATAACTCCCATCATCCTTGTCCTGCTAGCCACAGCGGCTGAAACTGATAAGAGCTGAAGTTTGGAGATGGCACCCATTGGCGGTGCCCATGTTTGAGTGCCAGGTTGGAGGCACTTGGGTTTGTATCAGTATTATTTCACAAGGTTAACGCATGAAAATGAAGCGTTAAGCAGATCCTTGGAATGGTTCCAGGTATAACAGTGTAGGACTATACAAGGTCTACAAACAACACTGTTTCTTCAAGGGCAGGCAGTTTGGGAGGGGAAATTGTTAGAGACAGGGAAGGGGTGGGAAGAAATTGGAGTCAACAGCTGTATGGATTTACGCTTGTAGGTGAAGTGATATCCTGATCTCACCCATTCATTCATTCATTCATTCATTCATTCATTCATTCATTCATTCATTCATTCATTTTTTCTTTTTTGCCTGGCCCACTTGAGAGGTTCTTGATTTGATAAGTAGGTACAGTGAGCATAAACACACCGGATTCAAAGCTCTTTTGCAAAGCTGAAGTCCAAGTAAATGCACACCCCTTTGCACGATGGATTGAATCGTATAGTAAACAAACAGGCCTGATCTGAACAATGCTCTAATTAACCAACACTACTAGACAGCCAGTGTGGTTAGTAGTTGTAGCAGTGAACTGGTCCTGGGGAGACCCTCCCAGTCACGGACACTCCCTGGGAGGCTTTGGGCCGGCCCCTTCCTCTCCACCACCAGGGTGAAGGTGATGGGCCAGAAGTGGGGAGAGCTGGGCTCTAACCCGCCCGCAGCTGCAAATGCTCCAGGGGGGCTCTTGGCCAGCCCCTCCCTCCCAGCCAACCGGCTTCCCAGGATTGTGGCTGCCAGAAAGAACAGGAAGAAAAGCGCTGTGTGGACAGCCTGGAGCATCTGAGTAAAAGGAAGGTTATAAGTCTACTAAATGAATTTAAACTAACCACAACACAAACCAAATTTAGCAAGTTGCGCAAAGGCAGCTGTTAGCTCTTTAACTGACCGGGCTAAATATTTAGTATGTATACAACCACACGCTGCTGTTGCTTCCTCCTCCTCTTCTTCTTTTTCTCCTTCTTCTCCATCTCCTTCCTTCTCCTCCTCCTCTTCCCCTTCTCCTCCTCCTCCTTCCTCCTCCTCCTCCCCTTTTCCTCCTCCTCTTCCTCCTCCTTCCTTTTCCTCCTCCTTCCTCCTCTTCCTCTTCCTTCCCCTCCTCCTCCTCCTCCTTCATAAATGATAGGATTGTTTTCCTCTTTTTATCTTTAATCTGCTATTCTGATACCCTTTTTAACTTCTGGGGAGCTCTTTTTCTTCCTCTCTCGACTTTGGAAAAGGCCAGTTTTCCTTCTGTTTAGATTCAGCTCTTGCTGACTTCAGGGACACAAATGAAAATATCATGTTTTCATTTATTGTAATGGTTGCCTTTTTCCTTCTGTAGAATGGATTCATTGGGCTGATCCTGTTGCCTCACCTTTGAACGTACTAAATGCGTCTTGTTTTTTATCATCCATTATTTGTACCACACAAATGACTCAACGTAACTACATTTAGCGGATTTTTTTTTAAAAAAATCAAAACTAATTAAGACCAGAACATTGGTATTTAATTTCTTAAAAAAATTGAACAACTGTATCCAACTCTGCCTTTTCTTACTCTGAGGCAGCTATTGCTACTCTGGAGCCCTGCAGATCCCTTATTTTAATATTTATGGTTGATTATTTGGATCTTCTGAGGTTGCTGGTAGGAATGTTTTCATTTTATTATGAAGCACCATGAATCCATGTGGATTCAGAGCCATACAATGTAGTAAAGAAATAAGTAAATAAGTAATCAAATATAAAAGGCTGTAACTCCAATCATCCCTAGCCAGCAGGTCGTCCAATATGCTTGAAAGCCCAAGGTTGGCCATGGCTGTTAAATTACTAGGACAAGTCCCAGTTTCTGTCCCTTCCCCTCGGCTTACCGATGCTCATCCCGTGGACGCACTTCTCCGAGGAGTCAGCCCGCAGCTGCCGATTCTGTGCAATCAGCTTGATTTTGTAGAAAGCAAAGAGGTTCTCCACAGGAATCCCGCATGAACGTTCCCCTTGATCAGCCACGCAATGCTTGATAATGCCAAAATCTCCCCGGCAGCGTCCAGCTTCTCTGGAAGAGGAAACTAGCAATGACAGGATCTAAAGGTCCCACTGGTCACTTGGCACCAGGAGCAAGGGAAGAGGCACTAAGCAGGTATTGGGGGTATTAAGCGATGGAGGGAGCCTAGTAAACCCCCAGATGACACTCAATTGTATAGATTTTTATTCAGGATGGATTTATTCCAGGGGGTGGCAATGCAGGGCCCATAGATATGTAGCTGGCTTCAGAAGTCTATCATCACTATCATCATCATCATCATCATCATCATCATCATCATCATCTTCAAAGGCTTAAATTTATTCATCTATGTAAATTTTAACCCACTCAATAGCCAAAACTCTCTGGGCGTTTGTAATAAAATGCAGTTAAAATATATATCATCAAATCAAACCCCAAATAAAGATGCCATACAAACAAGGCAGCAGTAATGCTGTTGAAATCCACTAAGTGCCCCAGGTCTTTCAAGGTTTTGCAGTCCTTCCATGAGATCTCATGGTTTTTACATTCCCACAGAAAATTTTGGGAGGAAGGTCACTAAAGTTTCAAGGTTGGTTATCTTCTAAGATTTGGGCCACTTTCAATCTATATATTCATTTTGGGGTGTCCCTGGCCAATAATCCCCCAGATTACTGATGCCTGGTTTATTTCTTCCTGCAATCCCCATTTCTTGATGGTTATTGATGTATTTTCTCACTCTTTCTTTATATGGGCTGTGAATGCTTTAGATTCAACTCTGAAAAGTTACATCAGAGCACATGGAAGAACAAAGGCAACACCTTAAACAAACTGGGGGGCTGGGCGGGGAGAAAAAGGACAATTGTTTGAATGAATCAGTGACAGATTCTGCATACTCATTCACAAACACTCCAAACCCCTTCTTCTGTTTTCCAGTAATGATGCTTAGGGATTTGGGTGACCTTCTACATCCAACAAATGAAGTAAAAGAATGAAAATGAAGCAACCTTCAGCTCACTGAGGCTGAAGAAAACTGCAACCAGATATTCGTTCCATTGTCATCAGGAAAAGAAAGTAAGGTTGTACCCCATACCTGCTGGTGAACAGAACATAGTTTAATTCTATTTATTTTCATAGGCATTGTTTCAGATGGATTGGGGGGAGGCGGGCAGGGGAGAAATTTAATGAATGAATGAATGAATGAATGAATGAATGAATGAATGAATGAATGAATG